ACTTTATCCTGAAGGTGATAGGGAACCACTGAAAAGTTTGCAGCAGTGGTCAGATTTATGTGTTCAGATGATCCCTTGAGCTGCAGTCTGGAGACCCAGGATAAAGTCTAAATGCCTTCAAGGCCCTTCATGCTCTTGCCAGTCTATCTCCTCTCTCCTCCCAACCCCTCCAGCCACAACCGACTTCCTTCCATGTCAGCCTCTCTTGCTGAGTCTTCCCACTTGCTCTCACTGGTGTCTGGAAAGCTTTATCCTTCCCCCATATCTGCCTCATCCTACTATTCTAGTTTTAATTGCTGCATAACGAACTGTCCCCAAAACTGAATAGTGCAAATAACTGTCATTTCATTTTGCTCATGGACTCTGTGGGTCAGGAATTCAGGCAGCGCAAGAGGGGGCAGTTTGTCTCCGTTCCATGGTGGCTGAGCCTCACCTGGGAAGACTTGAATGACTAGGGGATGGAATCATCTGAAGGCTTCTTCACTCATGTGTCTGGAGCCTTGGCAGTGCCTGTATTACCTGGAGCACCTGCGCGTGGTCCCTCCACGTGTTTTGGGGTTTCTTGATCATGTGACAGTCTTAGGGTTGTTGGACTTCTTACGGTGGTTCAGTGTGACCTAGCCTTGGAAACCTACAGCCTCATTCCTGCATTCTAGTAGTTACAAGTAGATCACGAAGACCAGCCCAGATTCAAGAGGGAGGAAATTTATGGGAGGAACGTCAAAGAACTTGTAGCCATGTCCTAAAACCACAGCAATGCACTGAGGTCTCAGTCACAGCTTAAACATCACCTCCTCCAGGAGGTGACCTGACCACACCCTGCTGCACGTCTGGATTAAGGGCCTCCTCTGTGTCCCCCCAGCCCCACTGTCCATCTCCATCAATGTATTTCCACCCCTGTGTTTATGGGTCTTTCTGCTGCCAGACCTGAGGATTCAGTGAGGATGGACCATGGCTGTTTTTTTCACCTTTGTACACCCAGCACCTAGCACAGAGCGTGGCAAAGCAGGCCCTTAATAAATGTTTGTTGCATGGGTGAGCAAATGAGTGCTTGATGAGCTAAGGCATGGAGCCCAGTGCAGAGGCCATTCCTTCCTCATGAAGCTTACATACTAATTGGAGAGATACATACAAAATAAAACTTTATATGATAAATGCCAGACAGTGATAAATGCTATTATGAAAAATAAAGCAAAGTAAGGGGATAGCGTAAGGGGAGGTGATACTTTATATGAACTGTCAGGGAAGACTTTTTGACCTGAAGGAAGTGAGAGAGCAAGCCTGGGAGAAGAGCATTTCAAGCAGAATGAACAGCATGTGCAAAGGGCCTGTAGTGGGTGTGTGCTTGGCAGTTTTGAGGAACAGCAAGGAAGCCAGGGTGGCTGAAGCATGGTGAGAGAAGGAAAAAGTAGCAAGGATGAGTCCCAGGGTGGGCCACACGCCAGATCACACAGGGTTTCACAGGCCTTGTTGAGGACTTTTGCTTTTAGTCTGAATGAGATGGGGGCCATTGGAGAGTTTCGAGCAGAGACGGTGTATGGTCTGATTTATAGCTTAAACAGATTCCTCTGGCTGCTCTGTGGGTAACAAGACTGAATGGGGCAAAGGAGAAAGCAAGGAATTCAGTGAAGTGGCTGGTAAAGGATACTGGGCAAGAGATGATGGGGGCCAGGACCAGGAGGGTGGCCATGGAAAAGGTGAGAGGTGATAGGACACAGGACACATTTTGAAGATAGAACCAATAGGCTATAAGGGATATGAAGCTATGAGGAAAAGAAGAGTCAAGTTTGCTGGCCTTAAAAGGCCAACTAAAGTAATATGTGAAGAAGTAAAGATGTGGGTGGGGGAGCAGGCTTGGGAGGATTGGGGAAACCACACTTCATTTTTAGACATGCCAAGTTTCAGGTGCCAATTAGATATCCCAGTGAAGATGACAAGAAGGCAGCTAAACATAATGAGTCTGGCAGTGTCGGGATGGAGCTATAAGCTTAAGAAGCTACGGCTATGATAAGCAGAATTCTAAGATGGCCCCCAAGATTCCCACTCCCTGGTGTGCGTGCCCAACATAACCTCTTCCTCTCTGCGTGGGTAAGACCCGGGAGCATGATGGATGTCACTCTTGTGATTAGCTTACATTATCGGCAAGGGTGAAGGGACTTCATAAATGTGATCAAGGTAAATGTGATTAAATTAGTTGATATTTAGTGAATCAAAAGGACCATTTCCCTGGGTAAGCCCTTTAAAAGAGAGCCTTCCTTGAGCCAAGTGACTTGAAGGTGCAGAAAGATTCTCCTGCTGCTCCTTGACAAAATAAGCCTCCACACTGATAGAGGGCCTGTGAAGAAAATAACTGAGTGGCTTTTAGGAATCCAGAGTGGTACCAGCTGACAGCCAGGAAGAAAATGGGGGCCTCAGTCCTTTAACCACAAGGAACTGAGTTCAGCCCGCCACCCCGTGATTCTGCAAGAGGACACTGAGCTCCAGAAAGGAATGCAGCCCAGACAACAGCGTGACTGCAGCTTTGAGAGATCCTGAGCAAAGAACCCAGGATTCTCTGCTGGGCATGCCTGGACTCTGGGCCCACAGAGATTATGAAATAATAAATGCATGCTGTTTTAAGCGGTTAACTTTGTGGCGTTTCATTACATAGGAATAGATGGCCAATACATCAGCGTATAGGCGTTTTTAAAGCCCTGGAACCAAGATAGCTCAAATAGCCCCGGCCAGGAACCTGACCCAGAGATGAATCAGAGAGCATGAATGGAGGGGGATTAGAGTGGGACACACCCTGCAACCTCTCCACCGCGCGCCCGCAATGCTTCCTACTCCTCTCAGCCACTAGGCGTCCCCAAAGTCCACATAAGCAGGTCTCGCCCCCACCTTTCACAGGTCAGAATCCATTTCCTTCAGAAATGGAAGGAACCAAAATAACAATAAATGGTCTCTCTTCTATTCGTATTTCCTCCTCCCCCACATCACCCGGGGGAAACTAAGGCCTACGAAGGGAGGCGCTTGCCCAAGGCCCGCAGTACTCTAGCACCGTCTCAGGCCTGGCGTTTTACACGCCCCCTGCCCTCCCCCTCCCAGGGCATCGTGAAGGGCAAACACAGACTTTTAGCCTCTCTCTCCAGCTTAGGCCAGGGGAGGGACTGCGAATGAGAATGACATCAGCAGAGGGCCCTGAGTGACTTGCGGGCTGAGGCCGGAGTTTCTGATTGAGGCTGACTGGAAAGGGTGGAAAGCGTGCAGCCCCGAGGTTGGGGCTGACAGTGTTGGTGGAAACGAGACTCCTCCTGAGGGAGTGGGTATCAGAGGTGCCCAGCTGCAATTGCTGGGCCAGTGATCCCCTTCCCTTTGTCCAGCCCCTTCCACCATCCGTTGCAGACTGGGTTGTCCAGAAGCAGACACTGAGACTGAGTTTGGGGTGCAAGATATTTATTAGGGATAAACACCTGTGAAAAGAAGAGGGAGGAGACAGAATTGGGTTCAGGAAGCCAAACTGCGCTGCTGACCAGGCAAAGCCTCAGCCACCCTGGAGGGGACCTGGGGTGAGGACCTGGAGGGGGTGGGGGTGGGGCAGGTACTCCCTGTATCTGTCCCACCTTGCACTGAAGTGGCAGGCTTTTACACCTGTGCTCATTCGGACACCAGATGCAGGCTGCCCTGGGTGAAGTGGCTCTCTTCCACCTTTTCTTTCTTAAAGGTTTTGTTTTGATTTGTGGTCAATCTCGCTTCCAATCAGAGGCCAAGAGGAAGCGCTCACTGTAATTCCTGAGGCCCCAAGCCCCTTTCTATAGGTGCCCAGCCCTCCCAAACCTGCTTTAGTCCTCTTTTAAAGCATCTGTGGGTATCCCAGTCCCCAAATACCCTCTCTGAATGAGACTTGCACACTTGGCCTTGGTTCTTACTGGGGAAACAGGCTTTGTCCAACCTTAGGAATTCATTGGATCTGGTAGAGGAAGAATTAGGCGGACAGGTGTAGGGGGACAAAGTTTTGAAAAGCCTTCGTCTCAGTTCCCAAAACACACTGGTAAGAATCTCATGGGCAGGAATCACTGTGGCTTCTGCTGCTGTTCTTCAGTCATTCAAAACATCTACACTGGGGGCCAGTTATGTGCTAGGCATGGGGACGAACCCCACTACTGCACACCCGGAACCGCCAGCCTAACACCATCTGCAGATTCAAACAGGGAGGGAGAGGCAAGCACCCTGAAGTAACACTTCACCAGGAGACAGAAACCAAAATTTGGGGCCCTGACCTTGGCTGCTTGAAGCCCCTTTACAAGTTGCTTCTGCACCTTGACCCTAAGTTTCCTCCTCTGGACAATGGAATAATACAATTTATGGAGGACCATGTTAAATGCTTCTCGCCTCGAACTTCATTTTACCCTGTGAAGCAGGTATTATCATCATCCCTCTGTTACACATATGGAAAGAAGAGGCAGGGTGAAGTTAACATGCTCAAGGTCACACAGGTGCTCAGTGGTGGTGCCAGGCTCAACCCTGATTCTTAATCTTAAGGGCAGGGTCAAACTGGCCCCCTTGGACTAGGTGTGCCTGCACACGTTTCACTTGGTCCACAAGGATTTAAAAATATTTCACTCAGCTATCATTTTGAAATTGAGATGTTCACAGAAACATCCAGATTGCCATCTTCTCTTGAAAAATCTAGCCCCCTGGCCACAGTGCGCTGCATTCCCACAGGGTCACAACTGGCAGGAAGTGAGCAGTTGCTCCCTTTGAAGTGGGTCATGAAGCCAGTGTCCACCCAGACTCTCTCATTCATGTCACCTGCCTGGCCTCTGCAGGGATGAGTCTGCCATCCTTAATGAAGACCAGGAGAACTGAGATAGAGGGAGCAGAGAGGCCTAGAGGGGCCAGGTGCCTCCTTGCCCTGGAACCCCAGCTCTTCCTGCATGGTGCTAAGTTACATGGACTTGAATCTGCCAAACTGTTTGGGGAGGGTTGAGGAAAGGCAAAGACATGTAGAAGCACAGGGCGAGATGGGGCAAATACACTTTATTCAGTCCTGGCAGAAGTCCTGCTGTGGGTGCCCGTGCCCCCTCCCCTCAGCTATGAGACTAGTTCTCCAAGACCACAGACAGTGACATCTCTTCACTCACATGACGTTTTCTGGGATTTTTCATTGTCTTTTTTGTTGTTGTTTTTCTTAAAAAAAAAAAAAAAAAAAAGAAAGAAAGAGAGAGAGAGAAAAAGAGAGAAAGAGAGCGCGCGCAAAAAGGCCCAGAGCCGGAGCACCAAGCTTAAAGGAGGCAGCTGGTGGCTTTGTCAGCGACGGGAACGCGTGGGGCAGAGACCTGCAGAGACCCTGGGCAGGGGTCCCGGAGGACTCTGGGACCGTTTGTTCCTGAGATTTGTGTGTGTGAATGAGAGTGTGTGCACACCCAGGAGGGTGAACACACGCCGGTGAGATACAGGTAGTGAGGGCAAATGGGGCGTGGGGAGGCCGGAGGGGCGGGGCTTGAGCGGGGAGCTGGAGTAAGAGGGGTAACAGCATCAGGGGCAGGGTTTCCGAGGGCACCCGAACTGGATGCAGCAGCGCTAGGCGCAAACGGCCCAAGACTACTCTGACCCTCCCTTCAGTCTCACTGGCCCAGTCGATGGTCTCTCTGAAGCCAGCTGCTGAAAAGTGCCACTTCATCTGCTATTACGCCTCAGTCTCAACCCCCTAGTACCAACGTGTCTGTTTCTCCCACTGAATACTGTAGGCAGAGGGACCTGGATGACAGGAAGGGGCGGTGGGCTTAGGAAGGAGCCCAGGCTGAGAGTGTGCCCTGAGGTGATAAGGGCACTTGGCGGGGGGGGGGGGGGGGGGCGTGTGAAGCATAAGGACCCTGTCCCCAAACAAACTGTTACGTGTCTTGGTTCTGAGTTTTCTTTTTCTCTCCTGAAGGATTTCCAGAGAAAGACCCTGCCCCCAATTCCCAGGTGGGGGAAAGAAAGGTAGGCTTCTTGGAACCAAAACAAGCTGTAGAGGCAGTCATGCAGTCGGTGAGAGGTGGGTGCACGTGGGTTGGGCGACCCCGTAAGGGAAAGGGGCTATGCCACTTGGGAGTTCCAAGCTCCACACCAACCCTTCCGGGCCGGCTAGTCTCTTTCTCCCCCTTCCGAGTGCTCCTCCCATTTAAGGCAGTGACGCCCCGTCGGGTTGAACGGAAGCCGTGGCTCCTGGATCAAAAGATTTCTCAGGATCGCTCTATATCCGCCCCCCTTCTTCCTGGATCTGACAGGGGCGTGAGGTTCGACTGGGACCAGCTCCCTCCTCCCAAGAAGCATTAAGCATGCGCGAGAAGGGGGCGGATCCCAGTGTTCCCGGGGAAAAGGAACGGGCCCCTCCCCCTCCCTGGGAGGGAGGGGCAAGGGAGGAGGGCGCGGGGCCGCCCAGCTGCAGCGCCCCCCCAAACAAGACAGGAGGCGGGCCAGGCTAAGGCGGAGGGAGTCCGGAGCAAGGGCAGGGGCGTGTCCTCCGGCCGTGAGGAAGGGCGTGTGCAAAATGGGGGAGGGGTACAGGTCTCTTGGAGAGGACGGGAGGTGTATCGGAGGGGGGGCTGGCTGCTGGTGGCTGTGCGGGAGGGGGTAAGATGGGGAGGGGCTTGGATGTCGGAGAAAGGGTGGGGGTTGGGCTGCCTTGGGGTGTGTCTGCGGGGGAAGGGCATGTCTGGATTTGAAGGGGGTTGGGCACGTCTAGGAGGGGGGAGGCTGTGCGGGAGATGGGGTGCCAGCCTCGGCCTCCGAGGGGCCCCAATACCTGATTCCTGTATGTAAACAGCTGGTTTAGGGGGCGTGCGCGCCCCGCTGACGGTGGGCTCAGTAGGTGAAAACCAGGTCGGCGATGCTAGACGGGCGCCAGTCCCCTGCGATCATCTCGGTAACCTCGGGGGTGCAGTAGTCCGGGAACTCGAAGTGCGACGTGCCCGAGGCGGGAGGCAGGTCTGGGTCGCGGTCCAGGGCGCTGCAGTCCAGGCCGGCAGGACCGGGGGGCAGTCTGGACAGAAAGCCCAGCGGCTCCTCCCCCGACGCCACCGTCTCCTCTTCGCCTTCCTCCGTCGCCGCCGCCTCCTCCTCCTCTTCCTCCGGCTCCTCGTCCTCCGACGGAGTCGGGGAGGCGGCGGTGACAGCCGCCCCCTCGCCCGACGGCCCCTGGGAACGCTCCGCTTGTCCCCGGGCGGCCCGCCCCGCCGGGACCATCCTCCACAGCTCCCGCCCAGGGGTCTCGACCAGGCGCACTTCCAGCAGCTCCTCGTCGTCGTCCTCGTCTTCGTCCTCGGGCGCCGCCGCGCCGCCCCCCAAAGGCCCTCCAGCCGCTCGGCGGCCTCCGCGGCTAGGCAGCTGCGACCCGGGCTTGAGCCGGCTGCCGCCGCCGCCGGGGGGGCGGGGCCGCGCCTTGGCGGGCGCCCCCTTGCTCTTTTTGCGCGGCCGGTACTTGTAGTCCGGGTAATCCGCCATGTGCTTGAGGCGCAGCCGCTCCGCCTCCCGCACGAACGGGATCTTCTCCGAGTCCTGCAGCAGCTGCCAGCGGCGGCCCAGGCGCTTGGAGATCTCGGCGTTGTGCATGTCGGGCCACTGGTCCATGATCTTCCGCCGTTCGTGCTGCGACCACACCATGAACGCGTTCATCGGTCTCTTAATGTGGCCGCTCGGGGTCTTGCACCAGCCGGGCTCACGCGCCCCCTCCTCGGCCGGCCCGGGCCCCGGGGGCGGCGGCCCGCCGTCCCGCTTGGCCCTCGCGCCCCTCTGCTGCACCATCGCGCCTGGGCCCGGGGCCGCTAGACGCCGCCGGGGGCCGTCCGCATCCTCAGCGGCTGGGGGTGGGGGAGGAGGCAGCAGCGACGGAGGGGCGGCCCCGCCCTGCAGCTCGGCCCGGCCCCCGCGAGCTGGGGAGCGAGAAGCTGGGCGCTCGGGCCCAACGGACGGCGGGGGGAGAAGGTCAGCGGCGCGGTCTCAGGCGGGTTCGGCGCGCCCCCGCCGCCTCCGGCAAGTTGCACCCCGCAGCACGCCACACATTGTTTTGCGGGGGCTGAGGAACTGCACTCCCAGGGCCCCCGCGGGCTCTCCTTGCAGCCTCCTGCTCGGCCGCGGCCCGCGCGCGCCTCTCTCCGCCCCGCCGCCTTCCAGTGTCTTTCTCCCCGCGCGGCCCCGCCGGCGCGCGCGCCACCCCTCCCCCTCTCCGTCTGCGGGCCGCTGCGGCGCGCGCGGGGCCGCCCCGTGTAAACACCGAGGTGCCCGCTTGGGCTGCGGCCGGGCCACGCCTCGCGCTCGGGCGCCGCGTCACCCGTTGCTGGGCAGAGAACCTGGTATTTGCATCTCCCAATCGCTGGCTGCCGAAGTGGGGCGGGGCTCGCGCTGCGGGGCTGGGCGGTCTTGTGGCTGGGATTGGGGGTGTCGGATGAAGTCGGTTTCTTTTCTTAGGCTGGGGACTAGCGGGAGAGTGGGGGGGGGGGACGCCGAGCGTGCTTCCCTTCTGGCTCCAGAAAGCCTGTCCCCGCCCCGCGTTGCCTTTGAAATTTTAGCTTACTCAGTGACACCTGCCGCCAGGTAGGACCTCCGCTCCCTCCTCTTTCGGGGGCGTCTTTTTTAGCCGCCCCAGAACAGAAGGTGAGGAGACCTAGGCTCAGGAAAGCTCCTTAAGGGGACAAAAACCTCATCGTATCATTGATGTAGCCCCTGCCTAGTATCCAGCCATATAGGCGCTCAACAAATGTTTATGGGCCCAATGAACCGAATCCTTTTTATATTTTTCTTCTCTTTTGAGGCACCACGAGAGACCTGAGAAAGAAGGGCACATGACGCCCACTTTCCAGGTAGGAAACACCAAATATCTGCAGATTAGGGCTCGAATCCTAGGCTTGCGGTCCCAGCTCTCTTCCCTCAGCGCACGAAGGGGCCGGGGCACCTCGCCTAACCAGCCGAGGGTCCTGAGTAGGACGAACTCTCCGTTTTTCACACGTCTCAGGCGAGGTTCGAAGATGCGTGGGTGCCCCATTCCCAGGTCCCACGCCACACCTAGACCAGCCTGGTGCCAGACTAGGGCGCGATGCCCCTCCCGGGTCTGGAGAAGCGTGCGCGGGCACGGGGGCGGAGCCAGGCCAAGGGGCGGGTCCGAGGCGCACGCTCGAGGCGCGTGGCGGGGAGGGGCTGCGCGCTCCCATCTCACCACGTGTGAGCCCGCTCGGGCATTGCTGGGCGTGTGCTGCCCCTTGGGGGAGGTCACCTTCACCGCGCAGTGGGCCCGGGCGATGGGTGGGGGCGCTGAAGTGTCCCTCCACGGAATCAGGAGCTGGGAGGGGTCGGGATGGGGGTCTCTATGGTAGCATTCTGCTGGGGCATAGTGGGCAGTATCCGGATTGGAAGGTGCGTGTCTCAGGCTCTAGACCTCACCCACCCCCGGGCGGGTGGGCGCGGAGAGCCCAGCCGGAGGGTGTGGGGTGGGGGAGGGAGGACCTGCGTGCGGCTCCGCAGACGCTGGGGGCGGGGTGATTGCTCTGGGTGCCCGGGAGGGAAATTGGATCTTCGCCGGCGGGAGGGGGCGACTCTTAAAGGCACAGGGCACTCGGAAGGAGAAGGCTCCGCTCCCGACCAAATGGTTTCTCCGTTTACTTATTGGACGCTGAGATCTGGAGACACCCGAGTTTGAATCTTAACAACGGTAGCTTGTACGGTTCATTGCTCAGTGGAGTCAGAATTTCTGTATTCATATTCCGGGTGCCTCTTTTTGCGTGTCCTTAAAATAGGAAAAAGCAATTTCTTCCTCATATGGTTATTTTACAGATTAAATGGGATAATGGATGTAGACACATCCCTGACATCTAGTAAATGCACAACAAATATTAGTTATCAGAGACTCAGGGCACCACCAACCTAGAAACACCAACATAACAAGAAAAAAAGGCATCAAAGTAGTGATCCTGGGAAAAATAAAAGCTTTAAAAAATTTTTCTAACACTTTTACACTTTTCCTACTTAATATTTGTCTTATTTTAAATTACATAGGATGGGCACTGCCGTCTTTTCAGTGCTTAGGGCCTCTCAAAGGTCTTACTGTGGCCCTGTAGCTGCTGCCATTACTATTATTAGAGCTTGAAGTACTGGCCTCCTGGATATTCCTCAAACACAGAAGGCTTGGACCCACCTCAGGGCCTTTGTACATGCTGTCTCCTCAGCCTGGTAAACTCTTCACCCCCATCCCCACATGGCTGGTCCATCTCATTCTAGCCTCAGTTCACATGGACTCTCCAGAGACGCCTGCCCTGACCACTCTCTGCTACCGCCCACCCACATTCCCCTGCATCTCAGGTACACAGACTTGTTGCTCTGTGACATTGTTACCATTGTCCATGATTGGTTCAGTTCATGTTTGTATATATTTATTTATATATAATATAGTAAAACCCAGTGAAATCAGGGCTTCCCTGGTGGCGCAGTGGTTGAGAGTCCACCTGCCGATGCAGGGGACACGGGTTCGTGTCCCGGTCCGGGAAGATCCCACATGCTGCGGGAGCGGCTGGGCCCGTGAGCCATGGCCGCTGAGCCTGCGCGTCCGGAGCCTGTGCTCCACAACGGGAGAGGCCACAACAGTGAGAGGCCCTCATACGGCAAAAAGAAAAACAAAAAAAACGAAAACAAACCAGTGAAATCAGCAACCCAACACAGGAATTGGAACATGATAATAACCCACCTTTCCCTATGAACTTCTCTCCCATCCCATCCCCTGCTTTCCCTCACCTGATGTAATGTCTATCCTGAGTCTTCCCTTACACTTATAAAAAGCTTAGCAGCTTTATTGAAATACCAGAGTATTCATTCATTTAAAGTATACAATTCAATGACATATTAAGGGAGCTGTGCAACCATCACCACAATCAATTTTAGAATATTTTCATTGGGACTTCCCTGGTGGTCCAGTAATTAATACTCTGTGGTCCCAATGCAGGAAGCCTGGGTTTGATCCCTGGTCAGGGAACTAGATCCTGCATGCAGCAACAAAGATCCCACAACTAAGACCCAGTGCAGCCAAATGAATAAATAAACATTAAAAAAAAAACCAACAAAATATATTCCCTTGCTTCTAGCTTTAAAAAAAGGGTATCATGCTGTATGTAATACTCTGGTATTTACTTTCTCACTCAATATTATAGTGGCAAGATTCATCTAAATTATTGCACCCGTGTGGGGTTCATTCATTTTCCACTGCAGGAATGTACCACAATTTTTCTATCTAGTGTCCTGTCCCTGGACATTTGTATTATCGCCAGGTTTTTGCTCTTATGAGCAGTGTTCCTGTTAACAATCCTAAATGTGTTCCTGGTGCTCAAGTGCAAGAAGGTCTCCCAGGTATTTTATGGGAAGTGTGGTGGCTGCATCTGAGGATATGTGAGTGCTAACTTTTATAAGGTGATTCGAAACTTCCAAGTTGTACCAATTTACTTTTCCACAAGCAACATAGAAGAGATCCTCTTCGTCTATATCCTGTCCAAAGTTTGGTATTCTTAGATATCTTAATTTTTGCTTGCATTCTTCTAACTCATCACCCTTTCTATTTGCTTCATAGCATTCACCACATTCCGGAATTATTTTATTTGTTCACTTGTTTTTTGCCCATCTCCCCTCCACTGGAATGCCAGCTCAAAGAGGGCAGAGATTTTTGTCTGGTTTTTTTCCTGCTCTGTCCCTAGGAGAGTGCCTGGCACACAGTGGGTGCTCAATAATTATTTATTAAATGAAAGTCAGTGCTCTATCATAAGTGTGCTCAAATTCCTCCGGGAGCCCAGAGAAGGAAGTGAAATTTTGGAACCCAAAACCCAAAACTCCAGTCTGCCACTGGGATGTGGTAGTTATCAGTGCACACAGGCTATCCTGAGTCCTTTCAGATAGGTGCCCCAGAGTCTAAACCTTGCAGGCCACAGGAGTTCAAGGCTGGGCTGACCACTGAGCTGTTCAATCCAGACTGTGGTAGATAGATGGTAAGGTTCTTGGAGAGATGCTGACCACTGCTGCCCCACTGGTCCAGGCCACCATCATCTCTTATCTGGGTACCTGCCCAGCCTCCTTTCTGGTCCCTGTACCCACCATATCTCCTTCCATTCCATTCTCCTCCCTGAAGCCAGAGTGATGGTGTCTTTCAGTCAAAAATCTGATCGTGCGTCTTCCCTTGTTAAAACCCACCAGTGGTTTCCCCAGTACTCTCAAGATAAACACCAGACTTTCACCTGACCCACTAGGCCAAGCTTGGTCTGACCCCTGCTCACCTATCTGACCTCCTCTCCCAATTTCTCGGTCTTGATCCACTCTCTAGTCACACAAGTCTCATTTCAGTTTGTGGAACAAGCCAAGCCTCCCCACAAAGGGTGTTGTGAAGTCCATTCCCTCACCCATTCCAGCACTCCTGCCTCTGTCTGCCTCCTTAGAGCTCTCCTAACTCCATGTTCCTTTTCTTCAGTGCACCAGTGACCTGCCTAGCTCATTTGACACTCAGAACAGATGGCTCCCTTAAATGACATTATTTTCAGCAACAGTCATGAAATATAATGAATAATACTAATGATAATGGCCAGAAAAGAAATGCAGATGGTGACAATACTCTTTTATTGAACTTTGTATACATAATCATGTCGGTAAAAATAAATATTACAGTACAAAAGAGGAAAAGAGTATTTGATCCATACTTTTCAATTATATTACTATATTTCTTTGAAAAATGAAAGAAAAAAACACACCCACACTGTGGTCTGTTGCAATAATAATTCCATTCCATTCCATTAATTACATTACAGTTTAAAAACAAATAAGAAATCACTTTAAAAATAAGAATCAATTTTAATATTAAATATATGATTCAGGGGCTTCCCTGGTGGCGCAGTGGTTAAGAATCCGCCTGCCAGTGCAGGGAACATGGGTTCGAGCCCTGGTCCAGGAAGATCCCATATGCCACGGAGCAACAAAGCCCATGCGCCACAACTACTGAGCCTGCGCTCTAGAGCCCGCGAGCCACAACTACTGAAGCCCGTGTGCCACAACTACCGAAGCCTGCGCGCCTAGAGCCTGTGCTCCACAACAAGAGAAGCCACCGCAATGACAAGCCCGCTCACCGCAACGAATATTAGCCCCCGCCACCCCCAGCTCGTGGCAACTAGAGAAAGACGGGGCACAGCAACAGAAGACCCAACGCAGCCAATAAATGAATTAATTAAT